CCTAGACTTAATAAAATAGGCCTACCCATAATGCATCACTGACCAATATATGTAAATAGTCGAGCAAAGACACAGCGCACATGTCCTGATGATTGCGTATAAGCATGAAACAGTCGCCGCTGGGTGTTAACTTAAATGTCCACTTATATACATATGAGTGTGTGTGTGTGTGTGTGAAAGTTTCATAAACTATCATGAAGAGCATGTCTGTCTATCTGTCTATCTATCTATATCAGTGTGTTCATATCTATCTATTTAGCTAGCTATCTAGTGATTTTGAAAGCGTAGATTAGATGTGGCTCAAGACCCAAAGTTTGGGGCACCCAGTGAGGATCGCACTCACTATTCAGTTGTAAATGTTCTAGCGAGACAAGCTTGCTCACCATTACACTGCATCAATGTTCCCCTATCTATCTATCTATCTATCTATCTATCTCAATTTGTTCATATGTATGTATATATCTATCTATCTCAATCTGTTCATATCTGTCTGTCTGTCTATCTATCTATCTCTCTATCAATCTATCTCAGTCTGTTCATATCTATCTATTTGAGTCTGTTCATATCTATCTATCTATCTATCTATCTATCTATCTATCTATCTATCTATCTCAATTTGTTCATATCTATCTATCTATGTATATCTCTATCTATCTCAATCTCTTCATATCTATCTATCTATCTATCTATCTATCTATCTATCTATCTATCTATCTATCCAAAACTGTATCTTTCTATTTATTGAAGTCCGTTCATGTATACCTAACAGTCTGTATATTTATCTATTTCTGTTAATGTTCTATTTTGTTTATGTCTAATTCGCCCCCATTTTTACTGTTCTTTCTTCCTCTCTGTAAAACATTTCTTCCCCCTCTCTCACTCTCTCTATCTGTCTGTTTCTCACTATATATCTCTCTCGCTTGACGACTCAACTGACTAAACATTCCGTCTTTCCATCGCACAATTTCTCACTCACTAATTGCTCTGCCAACCCAAAGGACATCTCATTAATAAACAATTATTCGCTCAATAATTAAGTGATATTCTTTGCAACGATACAGTTGTTCCACCACTCCCGTCACTACGGCCCGCTCGTTTACCAAACACATGAAGCAATCGACAAAATGTTAGACACTTGATGACTTCCATTCTAACTACAACCAAAATACCGACAAGGATTTATATACGAAGATATAAAAATGACCAGTTTGCATCGATAGAGCTAAATTTGTGATTCTTGTAACTGTCTTTGTGATTAGCATTGCTCTATGTCAAGTGACCTTACAACTTACATATGGGTGTGATGGACGTGGGTATGGGTATTGGTATGCATGCGTGGGTGTGTCAGTGTGGGTGTCTTCTATTCAATTTATTCAGCTTGTCGCTAACAATTCTGGTTTATATAAGTCTTACAATAAAGTTTGCAAAAATAGATTGATAGACAGACATGAAGAGATTTAGATACATAGGTGAATAAATAAATAGATTATAAGAACATCTATTTGTAAAAGACGTATGAAAGTAATTGAAGCACTGTATATAAACCCATTAATATAGAATTGCTACTCCCATTCAGCACAGCTTAGAAGTACCACTAATATAAACAAGGGAAAATACAATAATAGGGAATACCTTGACAATGACTAATGAATTGGCCGAAAGCGCTTGAGATAATTATCACTACGGACTAATAATCCTAACCCTAAACCCTAACCATAAACCCTAACCATAAACCCTAACCCTAACCCTAACCCACTAACCACTATTAATATACATATTTTTCTGTCTAATCACATCGAGCACTGTTATGTTTACACCTCATGTATACATTTGATGATCATTTATTTGCTTGCCTGTGTATGCACACCAACACGCGCGTATAGGGTTGCTTATATCTGGTCGTTTGAGTTACGGGACTCTATAAGTATATCTATCTATCTATCTATCTATCTATCTATCTATCTATATATATATATATATATATATATATATATATATATATATATGTGTGTGTGTGTGTGTATATATATATATATATATATATATATTTATATATATATATATATTTATAGTTATATATATATATATATATATATATATATATATATATATATATATATATATTATAAACTGTTATATTGGAACAAGTAAGTTACCGCAACAAAAATGCATATTTGTTTCGACGTCTAAAGACGTCTCGTCAGGTGGTTAACGATTTACTAAGACATAATATACATTTTTGTCGCGATAACTTGCATGTTTCAATATAAGAGTTTATAATAAATATTTATTGCACTACTCTTGTATTGAGGCATTTTTAATTTAATGTTATGAACGTTTATATTCTTTTCGTCCTTTTTACATTTATATATATATATATATATATATATATATATATATATATATATATATATATATATATATATATTCGTATGTTTTAAATGTTGCGTATTTAAGCAGCAAATTAAATAAAATGAAAATGTAATGTCTCTCGGACCTTTTTGTGAGTTTTTCAAGGTATGAAATAAGTTATTTTATGTCAGGTGGAAACTTGTAAAGGAATTTGCAGTTCCGCATCTTTTTTCCGGTATATTCAACTATCATTACTCGTTTTGAAGAATGTCCCTTGTGGAGCGCATATATATATATATACATATATATAGTTACTTAATTTCACTCGCAAGTCTTGCGTCAATCTGTTCTATGGCTTTTCTGGCACTTTTCAAAGGTGTCGTACGCTGAGGTCGCCTCCCTCATACCGATTATATCAAGAAGTCACTTTCCTTAAAAATCCATTATCGTCAGATTCGAACACGGGCCTTATGATAAGAATGCGAACCACTCGATCACGTGCGCCTTTGAAAGCCTTCGATGGTTGTGCTAGCCTGATGTTACAAGTCATCGTGACCGAGGGTTGAGTGCTTTGGCCTTGAGTGTGCTGGCCTTGTTCCGGCTGTTGATCACACCAGATTATGTACTCGCTCCCAGAAACTGTTACTAAGATCAGCTCAGCATAGTTGCAGTATAAACCATAAGTGGACTCTGTAGGTGTTGAAGAAACACAAATGTGCCTGAGCAGGCGTCTGCAACAGGAATCAGCTAGCCACCCTATTAGGCGGGCATCCTCGGATACAAGTGGCCAGCCACTATATATATATATATATATATATATATATATATATATATATATATATTAAAACGTGCTCTTAAAGACTACGAAACTTTTCTATTTAATAATATTTTTTTCTGTTTTTTCTTACTTTCTCACAAGTTTTTAATATTTCGCTCAAAGTTGTTGAGCCTAGTCCAAGGTGTTTTGGCGAGCGCTTTCGGTTATCGTCAACTGTCATCATGGTTCTATGTTTTGGTTTGAAATATGTTGTTTATTATTTTTAGTTTATAGATAATATTTTGGGTATTTTGACGATGTTGTACAATTACTACATTATTAAAGAGAGTGTTGGTGTTTATTATTTTGAGGACATACACGCACACACACACATATATATATATGTGTGTGTGATCGTTATTTTTAGTTTGTTTATTGTGTCCACGTGTTTGAGATGACATATTTGAATTTTTCTTAAACAGTGGAATGAGTATCAATTCCATGGTTTAAGAAAATGAAATAAAAAAAAACAGGGATGTCAATTCAAACACGTACCGCGACTGAAAATGATGATTTGTTGAGGAAAGGGAAAAATTATCGTCTTACAAATCCTGTTATTATTTCAATATAATATTTTGAAGACTCATGCCGGTCCGGATAAAAAAAGATGTCGACAGACATGGAATTTAAACAAACAATAATTAATAAATGTATTAGCAAAACATGTTTACAGAAAACTCGGTAAATGACCTTCATTGTTGAATTTATTGTTAATTCAACACCATTTTCACCTGATCTCGCTGAAATGCTTTCATGCAGTGCGTTTTACGAGAAAAAATAAAAAGCGCATCTGTTGTCGATCTGAATTCAAAGGAAAAAACGAGTGAGCCTTTCAAAAATTGCACAGCCTGTAATTTAGTCAAATCCAATAGTTTATATTAATAAGTAATAACGTCGGATTAAAAAAAATCATTATATATATATATATATATATATATATATATATATATACTTTATTCGAAAAATTATGACAAAAATATGTTATAAAATCACTGCAAAAATAGCCATTTTGTTTCAACCAGCACAACGACTGATAAAGTTTAACGATAAAAAACATGAAAATTACAGATAAAGTTCATTTTCTTCATAAACAGTCATTCACTGCTTTAGTTCACTGCTACTAACAAGTAGAATTTTTTTTCTCCTAATTTTTTTTTTCTCCTGATGATGGCCATGTTGGTCGAAACTAGTCGAGGAACCTCATAAAGCAAACAAAAAAAAATATTTTATTTTTGTAATATTTTTTATTGTTCAAAATATGTATAAGTCATGTCTCATTAAATATATTGATATTTGCTTGCTTCATTTTTCGTGTCATAATCTGAATAAATGAGAAATATTTTGACCATTACATCATTTTGAAAAGAAATCTCTTTCAAACAACCTGAACGATTAAGTAAGATCTCACATCTAATTTATGGTAAAATTGCGATGATTATTATTAGATAAATTTAAGGAGCTAATTCCTCGAAAAAGTCAATAATAATTTACAAACAGATAATAACTCGTTTCAAAAAAAATAAAAAATAAAAAAGTTAGACGACATCAGGGCATTAGTTTGTGAGGTAAACATTTGATGCTGTTCGAAATTCTATTGAGCATGACCGGCGATTGACAACAGAAATAATAACTAAGAACTCGGTCAACTTAGGTGTTTAAGTCCATACAATTTTTTTCTGCAAGTTTGAACAAACTTCCTGCTCGTCGCGTAACAAAAAGGTTGCACCGAAATCAACAACAAAGAACCGAACTCTCAATGGAAATGGTATTAAAATCCGGAAGTCTTTCTCAGGTGAATTATAATTGGTTACTTAGACTTGGCTTTTATCAGAATGATCCTGAAAAAAAAGATCAGTCAAAACAAGGGTGTTATCCAAGAGTGGAAAGGGCCCAGTGACATCAAAAGATAGCCTGTCAGAAGAAATGGTTATGACGAGATCTTTCTGGGAGGCTGTGGGCATTTTTATCTTTGATTTCTATGGCGAAGGAAAAATGAGAAACATTTATTTATTATGGAAGTGTTTTGAAAAAGAAAAGAAAAAAGCGTCATGATAACCATTTCTTTTTTCTTTAACTCTCTATTTTTACTTCCAGTTCAACTTTCAGTCTTTTACTTTGAAAAAGTTACAGAATGGAAAAAATATCTTTAACAGTTTTATATCTATTTTTAATGGTTGAAATATTCAAAAATTGTGGAAATAATTTATTTTTTTGTTTTTTAACTTCCATTGTCTTACTATTTTATCAACACCATTTTGCTAGCCTTTTCTTTCTTTCTTTCTTTCTTTCTTTCTTGCTTCCTTTCTTTCTTTCTTTCTTTCTTTCTTGCTTCCTTTCTTGCTTGCTTTTCTTTCTTTCTTTCTTGCTTGCTTGCTTTCTTTCTTTATTTCTTTTTATTGCTTTCTTTATTTCTTCCTTTCTTTCTTTCATTATTTCTTTCTTGCTTTCTTTTTTGCTTTCTTTCTTTCTTTCTTTCTTGCATTCTCTCTTTGTTCGCCTTCTTTCTTGCTTTTTATCTTGCTTGCTTGCTTGTTTGCTTGCTTCCTTTTTCTTTCTTACTTTCTTGATTTCTTTCTTTCTTTCTTTCTTTCTTGTCTTCTTTCTTTCACTCTATCACTTTGGTCCGTCTTATATTTCCTTTTTTTCTCTCTAGTTTCTGTCTTTTTCTTACCCCGATATCTCCTGACGAGTAGACCGAACAATTACACAGAGGTTCGTTTAAGAAGCTGTGATGTATAGAACCTCAATCAATTACATTTATTTTAATCTTACTAAATTCATTATTCTTTTCTTCTTTTTCTCTCTTTCTCTCTCCCCCCTTCACACACACACACCCTCTCTCTCTGTAATATATTTCTCCCATAACCCTTTAGAATTTTAGCGATCAAGGCTCTCCACAACTTTTCTTTATTATTTGTCAGTTACTATAAATTATTAGGTAACATGGTAAGGCGCTTTCTCGTTGAATGTTTTTTCTATAATGTTGGCCTGCCAAAGCTAGAGAGCCCAGTCTACCCTACTATTCAACCAATATTGAGGCATTATAGGAAAGTGTATGCAACAGACGAGACAGGCCATTAAAATCTGCTCTATTCATGTCGATAACTGTTACGCTGCCTAAAATTATTCCCCCTCACACCCTCTCCTTCTCCCCCTACCTCCCCCTCTCTCTCGTTATTTCTTTATATAACTTGCTCTCTTTCCCTCATCTACTCTTTCCCCCTCCCTCTCTAATTTCATGTTCCTTCAGTAGGGAGACGATGATGACTCTCCACAGATTTTGACACGCCTTCTTAGGAAAAATAGTGACGTAGTTATTCGTTGTTCTTCTCTTAGACTGGTTAAAGAGCACAGTGTAGCCTGCTATACGAACCACACAAGGTGGCGGGGTCGGAGAGTAGGGGCGGATTTCTGGCTTGGCCAAGGGAATTTGTGCGAAAGTGAACGCAACAGATTAACTAGGAATTTGAACGCGGATTGCCGGTAACAGTTACACTATCAGTCCCTCTCTCTCTTTTTTTCATCACTCTCTGTCACTCTTTGTCATTCTCCATCACTACCTCTCTCCTATCACTATCACTCTTGACCCCACTCTCTCATTCTTTCTTATCAATTCCTTTGTCACTCTCTGGCTATCTCTCTCGCACCGATATCTCTTTTTATCACTCTCTCTGCCACTCTCTGTCATTCCCTCTCACTATCTCCCTCTTGGCTCCCTCTCTCGCTTTCTTTCTTACCACTCCCTCTGTTGCACTCTGTCATTCTCTCTTGCTATCTCTTTCGCCCTCTCTCGCTTTCTTTCTGATCACTCTCTCTGTCATTCTCTCTAGCTATCTTTCTCGCACCGATCTCTCTCTTTCTTTCTGATCACTCTCTCTGTCATTCTCTCTCGCTATCTCTCTCAACCCCTTTCTGTCTCTTTCTTTCTTATTAATCTCTCTCTCTCTCTCTCTCTCTCTCTCTCTCTCTCTCTCTCTCTCTCTCTCTCCGTATCAGTTTTTTTTTCTTCTCCCAAACAATTAAATCGTTCTATTTCTTTTTCGTTCTCTTATCGGAGCCTCTCTTACTCTCTATATTTCTTATGTACTCCCTCTCTCTATTCGTTTACCACTCCTCTTCTTTTTTTTTTTTTTTTTTCATTTTCTCCCTATCTCATTCTACCACCACCGCCACCGTCGTATCTGAGCGTCCTGACCTCTTTCGTCGCTGTCTTCTCATATCTCCGCCGTCGGAGACAGTCACTATTTGTTCGCTTCTTGGCCGCCTGGATTAATCTTCTCTCGCGACTATTTTTCTTTTTCCTCGGCGTCATCCACCTGCGCTACTCTTGACCTGGTTAATTTATAAATGGAATTCTCTCTCGGGACAGAAATCCTATGTAAGTGTATCAGTATGACAAAGTAGAAAAAGATATTAAAAACTAAAAAGATATAAAAAATGAAATGCTTTCGAATTCTCGATTGCCACTTAATATATTTGCTATCAATTGACGATATGTGTAATTGCAAAAGGCCTGCAATATATTCCCTCTCTGTGTTTTATAAAATCTTTAAATGATATTGTATCAGTCACGTACAAATTTAGTCTTTGGTTGGCATGTTCGATAAGAACACTGCATTCTTGAATTTGCGAAGTAAGTACATTTACCTGCACTCTACGGTAGGCCCTCATGATAGAATAATCCTGGGTAATCATTTTGGAAACGTTTCGTTAAATCCATTATATTCACTTACGTGCTAATACCCTTGAGAAAGGTATGAATCATCATCTTCTCCCCCAGCTGTGGGTAAATAGCAGGATAGACAGTGTTCTATAGCATTGGATGGTAACTAGTCTACTGCAGAAAGAAATGGCAACCTAACGCGGGAAAAAATCTGCCTCGTCATTCATGTATCGAAAGATACATGATCGCCTAAGCGTGTATCATTTAAAGCCTCAAACATTTATATAAACAATAATACTCATAAAATGGAAAAAGAGTAAAAAGTATTATTTATTGCCTGGTTGTTATGTGGCGTTGGAGAAACAAGAGATAAAAATATTGAGTAAAATTCTGAGTTTAGGATCAAATGTAGATCAAATATGGATCAGAATACAACAGAAAGATAAATAACGAATAAGTAAATAGAGTCTTTTCGTATGTTTATTTTTTTCTTTTTCATAGATGTATTTAATTGGTGCTCAGATAATTTAGTTGAAATAATACAAAAAGTGTCTGTGGTTTTCTTACCTTGAATTTTTGTCGATGGGTAAATGATAAATGTTACAATTATAGTCTGAAAAGAAAAAAGAGATGCACTTTTTGTTGACGCACGCATTAACGACCTGTCCGTGTGAATTGCTTGTCCGATAGAGAAAATGACACGTGTTTGTGAATGTAGAGGAGTGGGGTCGATTCTCATTGGATTAGAATAAGTGAATTAATAATAATTATAGATCATGTAAAAGCATTTGATGAGATGCAACACAAAGATCTAGTTTAACTGCAAGGAAAACTGGATATATTTAGGAAAGATAATAGAATAATCCAAAACATTTACAGGAAATAAACTGTCTGTATAAGGATAAAAAATAAATCCACTAAGACGCAAGGGGTTACTTGTGCTAAAGAATATAAGAACATGACAACATTATTAAGGAAGGAAAACAAGAAACGAACAAGAATTAAGACAGAAAATAAGATAACGATTGACATTGAATTTATGCTTTAAGAATAAAGTTGAATAGAAGTCAAGAAGCCGAAAAAGAGTTCCACAAGCCAGAAGTGCGACAGGAAAAGCTGTTAGCATAAAACGTAAGGTTATATTTAGCTGTTTCAACTGTAAAATGATTAGACATATCTACCAATTTAGTACTTCGCTTAAAGCCGTTAGAGTCGAAATACCAAAATGAAAAGCTCATCAGAACAATTACCATGAAATTATATAGAGAAAATGCACAGATAAACTATATTTCGACGGTGGGAAGGTGACTGAAGCCAAGATGCCAGGTCAGAACCTATAACATTACATATTCTTCTTTGGAATTTATCAAGAATTTCTAAAATGTATCAGAAGCACCGAACCAGATGTGGCAGTAATATGCAATTATATGAAGGAACAGTAGACTTATAAATGTGTAAGATAGATTCCGGTGAAAAAGAATTATATAGCACGTCAGAGTAAACCAACTTTACTAGCAGCAAACCTAGTAATTGATTCAATATAATCTTTTAGCTTCATATCAGCGAAAAACTTTATCCTGAGAAAGCGTAATGAAGGTTAGCATCAGCCATATTGATGGAAGTTAAAAATGTTCTCTAAATCGATTAAAAGATGGCAGTTTTGTTTTGGAGGCATTAGAATTAACAAGCCATTTCTTGACCCAGTTAACAACAGATTGTAGGCCATTTTGGGGGATCTGCGGCCAATTTGATTTTATTGAATCGATCAGACTTAAGACAAGAGTAAATGGTTGTGTGATCGGCATCGATAATGAGATGACGTCAGGAAGGGCGTTGATGAAAATTTTGAACAACCTGCAAAGATCGAGAAGAGTGATCGTTCAAGAAATCTTTCATTTCGCTATTTCATAAGAATGATTGAATCAATTTAAAAAAATTCCTCCAAAAATAACCTAACCTTTTCAACTTGTCAAGACCATTATACTATCAAGCAAATGCCTTCGAGATATCCAAAGCAACAGAGCAAGCTTCACTATTCTAATCTAAAGTTTGATAAACTCTTTCAGCAGTTGACCTAGAGAAGCGAAAGTGATATTGCCTGCCTGAATGAAAACATTGAGAAGTAAAACTAATAGGCAGATAGAAGAATTACACGATTCGCCTGAAAATACAGAAGACGATTTTTAACAAACAGGAAAACAAGAAACAGCAAGGTATTTATTGTAGTTTCAAGAGCGCATTTCTTAAGGGGGATTGCAGGAATATAATCAAGCCCACATGCTTTGTGGTGATCCAGTTTAAAGACCTTAGCAGAAACCACAGACGAAGCTTTTTCTATATAACACAATAGGGTTCTAAATGGAAAGTCAGACAAAGACACTCAACTCAAGAGTAGAATTGGAAGAGAATTTACGAGCAAAATCTCCTACTTTATCAGAATGAAATTGATTAAAAACGGGAGGGATAGAAGACTTACTTTTATTTAACACACTATTACTGAGCCGCCAGTAGCCATAAGAACTAAACTTGTTATATGCTTTAAAGAGCCTCATTCTGTCTACGACAAAGACTTAGCCGCTTTGAGAACACGTTTACAATTATTCCGAGCAGGCACGGAGATGCATATGGTCTTATCAGAACTATCACACTGTTACAGTTGGAAAAAAAAAAGTGATTCCTGCAGTTGAACAGACATATGAGAACTAAGAAGATTGTGGTTTCATTTGATATTTACGAGAAGACACAAAAGCATTGACACCGGCTTTTACCCAAGAAGAATCTGCAGTAGCACAATTTTCAATAGAAAGATGAAAAATTTAACTACAAGATACTTCGCAAAGAAAATCCCGAAACTAATTTCAACCAGTACGTTGGTAACAGAAATAGGTTTTGTCAATAAGATGTCGCCCTATAAAGACGATCTAATGTCAACAGATACTACAGCGCGATCCAAATTTTCAAGAGGACAGAGTTGCGAGTCTCGACAAGAGGCAGAGAGAGAAATTAAGAAACAAATCAAGTAAAGAAGCAGATTAATCAGAATTTATAAGGAAACGAGTGGGGAAATATCCATTGTTTGATTGAGAGTGAAAAAGCAGTGGAAAAAAAATGAAACTTTGAAGTCCGGAACAATCAGTTTAAGAATTAGAATGTTTAAGCTACTTGACGTGATGATCATTAAAGTCACCATACACAAAAATGTTTGCAAATGAATCTATGGGGAGAAAGACAGAGAGAGAAAAAGAGAGAGAGGAAGACAAGAAGAGAAAAACAAAGAGAAAGAGGTAGAGAAGAGAGAGAGAAAAAGAGAGAAAGAAAGAGAGATAGAGAAAGAAAAAGAGAGAAAGAGAGAGAAAGAGAAAAGAGAGATAAAGAAATAGAGAGAGAGAAAGAGAGAGAGAAAGAGAGAGAGAATAGGAGAGAAAATGAAAGAAAGAGAAAGAGATAGAGAGAAAAAGAGAGAGAAAGAAAGAGAGAAAAAGCGAGAGAGGGAATGAGAGAGAGAAAGAGAAAAAGAGAGAGATTTCTATGCTGTCAGATATTTTGTCTAATACGTTACAATCCTGAGAAGAAGGGAAGTCATAATGGAAAAAAACATAGCCGACAGAGTGCAATAAAAAAAGTCGAAATCCAATGAAAGAATCATCCGGGACTTTGAATAATTTCCCGGATGTAAACACCAAGACTATACTTATGTATCTTAGAATTATTTGACAAAGCAAAAGATAGTCCGGAACAGAGAATTCGTTGGAAGCGACAAAATAGTTTAAATTAGTTTCGCAAAGCGTAACGTTTCAAGAGAAAAGATACTACACCATAGAAATTGGAACGAATTTGGAGAAGAAAAAATATTGCGATGGGTAAGAATTTTTTTCTTACTGGTTTACTTGTATTTCATTTAATTGTAAACATCATGAGAATTTTATTTTACTTTTTAAGGCGAAAAAATATTTATCACTGTCCATCGTCTATGGCAATACAAACCGACCGGAAGCTGGCATAATGTGGACTCAGGCTTGCTAACCGGAAGTAATTGAAGGAACACCTGAAATAGAAATGGGTGTAGGACAATAATGCATCTTTTCACTGTATTTATTCACCTTTTACAACCAGGCAATCCTAAGAGAACTAGAAGGCCTATGAAGATTTTGTTATTGGTGGAAACCATCTTAACATAAAGTATGCTCGTCCTGGGTATGACAATAAACTACATCCGCGTCCAGGGCAAGACGATAAACTGTGGAACCACCTCTTAATTGCTGATGTTCCCAGGCCCGCCCTGGCCCGGGGTGGTTAGGTTCCCAGCTATGGGCAAATAGTTAACCTCGAAACTGAGGTAAAAAGCATTATAAAAGTGTAAAAATAGGTTTTAATACCAGAAATACTTTGTAAAAAATCATTACCAGAAATAAATTTGTGAAGAAAAAAAAATATTACCAGCAATCCGTTTTTGAAAAAAAACTATAACCAGCAATACGTTTTTGAAAAACGTCAGTCATAGTTCGAGCAGCTTGTTTGGTGTTAGCTGAATTTGAGGTGGGCTTGTCCTCAACCGGATCAATCTATGAATACGTCAAGCCTTTGGAAATAATACTGTGAGTAAACGCACCACCAAGTATTGGTTCCAGAAGTCCAGTTCGGGAGATCTGTCTCTTTGTGATGAACCTA